TGCTCTAGGGCCCACGCTCCTGGTTTTCCTGCAGTCCTGCACATCTTCAGTTGCATCCACGCTCTCCCTGAAGGAGTCAGGCGCTCCAGCGTTAGAGATGCTTCCAAGATGTTTCAATAGCTTTGAGTCTGTAAAGGAGTCAAGGTCCCTTTCTTCCGGAAGGCTTCTTGGCCCAGTTGCAATGTGTCCACCCCTTCCTAGTAATCGTAGGGGAAACGGGGGAGGGTGGTCTTTGTCAACGCTCAGAGTCCTGCTTCACCCTCCTCCAGAGGAACAGTTGCTGACTTGCCTTTCATTTACTTCCCTGAAAGGAACCACTCAGGCGATTTTTCTCAGGGAGAGTCACTGTCTCCTCTGCTAGAAATAGAAGTGGCTGGAAACTTCTAACAGAAACTTGCTTTTAAAAACTCTAGTTCGACTTTCAGGGGCATCCTGCAACATTTTTATGATGGTTCATTGATGAGAGAGAGAGAGAGAGAGAGAGAGAGAGAGAGAGAGAGAGAGAGAAAGAGACAGAGAGACAGAGAGAGAGATTGGGGAGGGCTCAGAGGCAACTCTAGGCTGGGGTAGGGGATACTGGAGATGACATTTTGTGTACCCTTTTTCCTCCCACTGAAAGCAAGCAGTGGGGACCTCACCCTTCTCTGTGTCCAGCCCCCAGTCTCCAGGAGTGTCCACGTGCTCCTCCGTCTGTGGGCTGAGCTCTGGTCATTCCCAGCAGGGCTCCCTGAATCGCTGTGCAGGAGGTGGCCTGCCAAGGGCAGGGCAGAAGGGATGAGCAGGCACTGAGATCCACCGGCTCTGCTGAAGCTGGGGTTGGGGCTCACATGGGCCGTGGGGTGACTGGCAGTCCTGTGGCTGCCCGGCCTTGGATCCGCTCCTGCCCCCTGAGTCTCAAACTTAGAAACTGTCATTTCTGCCTTGTTCTAACAATCAACCAGGACATTATAAGAAAGGTGGGGGGTGCAGCACCGGAAGGGAAGGCTGTCATGTTTTCTGATTGGGTGCCAACTTCATACTTTGAAAAAACTCCTTCCCCCTTTTGCTTTTTCTTGCACCTTCTTTATTCCTTAGGTTCCTCCTCCTTTCTCTCTCCCCTCCTCCCTCTTCTTCCTCTCCCACCTTGTGTTTTCTGCTCCATGGTTGAGGGGAGCACAGCCCAGGGCAGCTGGTAGGAATGCTGTGCCTCTTAGCAAAAGACTAAAGAAAGTGTGGCGACTGACCTCTAGAGACCACAGAGGGGCAGTGGGATGTTTGACCTGACCTAGGACATGCCTGTGTCTCAGGAGAAGAAGCATCCATCTTGGCTCAGCCTGGGGTCAGGCAGTTGGTCCAAATCCAGCCTGTCTCTGCAGGCAAAGAACAGTGTCCCTTGTGTCATGTTGCACTCCATCAATAAGTAGATAGGGTTGTACGTATCATCCCCAACAGATTTGCACATCATAGAATGCATGACTGTACCAACAAATTATGCACATTTGAAGCATATTAAAAGTAGAAAGGAAGAGATTAAAAAATATATATATATATATATATTTTTTTTTTTAGCTGAGCCATCCTGCCACCTGTTGGCAGCTCAGCGGCTGCTCAGCTCGAGCTGGGACTCGAACCGCTGTTTCTCAGAGCTCAAACTCTTGAGCGAGCTCTTAACCAACTGAGCCACTCGGCCGGCCCAAGATTAAAAATATTAATAGAAGTCCTCAGTTTTCCTTCTCACACCCCACTGCATCAAATTGGACACTCGCAGGTACCTATACCATAGGTCAGAGTCTGCCGGCCAAGGCGTCCTACAGGCTACAGGCCAATGAGGTTTCTCTGGGGGTCACTCTGGGCAAGGTGGGCAAGAATGGTGGGTGGTCATTAGTATCGCGTTCATAAACATTCCTGTTTTCCTCTGCTTGTGGGCCCTTGCGGAGGTGAGTCTGCAGGAGGGAGATAGGAGGCTGGCTCATCGCTTCTAATTCAGGTTTCCCTTGGGACTCTGGAAGTTCTTTGGAAAGTAGTCCTTTCTTAGTGCTTCAGCTGTCCTTGCATGGAGAAGAGGGTAGGAAGAAGGGGCTCTCGGGGCTGCTTGACAAAATGGTTTAGGAAATCCACTACGGTCCTGCAAATGAGAACCATGCCTTGGCAGATCAGTCCCCAGGGACTTTCCACACCCTCCTGGTGCTCACCCCTGCCGCTCCTAGAAATGTCCACAGAGAACTTATCTCCTCTCAGTGAGCGGTGGATGAGTGCTTTTCAGAGCTCTCAAACGTTTGAGGTTTCTCTTCCTGAATCAATTTCCTTTGGAGACCGCCTAGCTGTCTCCATCACTGTTTGCTTTGAGCCTGTGAAAAGGGTATTTAAAAATAGTGACGTCTGAAAGCTTCCATGTGCCTGAGCAGTTCCCATCAGATAGGGCGCACAGTCATGCTAGGCCTGTTTGTACTGGCAGGGGCCCCCTCGGCCACACTATCATCTTTCTCCTCCAGCCCACCCGCCACAGCCTTCTTCCCGGGGCATCAAGACCACAGGCTTCTGGGCGCTGACACAGAGAATCAGGAATGGGGCGATGTTTCTGCCCCTGCTGAGAAGCCCGAGGGAATGTTGTCAACAAAGTTCAAAACTCCCTTTCTAAATAAGATAGATAAGGTCTACGAGAGACTCTGGAAGCCATGGTTTTGACTGCTATCACCAGTCCACGAGGCACACACTTAGCTGGGGCCACTGGGCAGCTAATATATTATAGCATCAGGCTTATGTCTCTGAAAAAAAAAAGCAGAACCATCCCTGGAATGTCACCTCCAGTCTCCCCATACTCTGAATCAACACCTTCTATCCAGTGTCTCTATCTCCACCAGTACGTTCACACCAGCAATTCCCAGGTGGCCCTGAGATTTCCAACCAGGGACCCCACTACTCTAGCCCTGCTATCACCCTCCTCCTCATGTCCCCATGTCCTCTCTTTCCTCCTTACTTGGGTTGGATTCTTTGGTCCAACACTATGATTGCTCCTTTGCAAAACACTTCACCTTTTGCCTTCTCTGTCCTCCAGCATCCCTGCCTGGCACATCCCCTCTCTGCAATATGCCTGGTCTGTGTCTGCACTGGGACAGCTAACCATGGCTGGAGAGAAAAACCACTCAACCGTATTCATTGGATTCACTTCACATGGACGACCACAAGCCTCAAATGGGCAGCCAACGTCAGAGGATGATTCAACTACCCTTTCCTAGGAAATTAACATGCCATTTTCTCAGATAATTGTTTAAAAACTTCTTTCTCCTTGAACTTCCAACATTCTACCCCCTCTAAGTCACACTCTTATCTCTGCCCCACTCCCCCCTTACTTTCTACATAGATCTTGCTAACATTTAATCAGCTCGTACAGTACTCCACTGCTCAGAAACCTCAAAACACTTCTTGCACAGCCCAAGTAAAACCCAGACTCCTTGCTCTGACCTATGAGGCTGACATGATCGGCCTGCAGGTCTTTGCAGCTCACCTCCCATCACATCTCTGCACGCCAGCCGCACCGCAGATCACACTCCTTCCTGTCTCAGAGTCTGGGTCCCTGTTTTTCTATCCAGAACAACCTCTTTCCTGATATTTGCATGGTAGTAGCTGAAAGAGCACCTTCTCAGAGAAGCCTTCTGAGCACATGATAAAAGCCGCCCCCTCCCATACAATGATGCTGTCATCACATTTTTATCTTCTCTGCAGCACTTAAAATTCCTTAATTTGTTTAGAGGTCAAAGTAGCGTTAATTTCACTTTGGGCTGGAAAAGTGTATGTGTGTGGTCCCATCTGTAGGGGTGGAAAGGCCCAGTGGCTTCTTGTGTGCCCTTTGAACCACATGGCTGAGGGTGATAGTGGGTTTCCAAGTGCCCACTTTGCTCCTCTCCTCATAACCAATACACCACGTGGCCAATTTATACTGTGCGCTCTTTGTGAGAAACAGAGCTAGTCACTCACCCTCTTGGCACAGGCAGATGACATAACCTCAAGGGACTGCAGAAAGCTTCTCTAAGGCTGTTCTTTCCACTAAATGGAGTTACTAATGCCTGCTTGGACCCTCTGAGATAGGCCTCTCCACTGAGATAGAAGTAATTCAGACAATGCCTTCCCTCGCCCTCTCTGTCCTTTTGAAGGTTTCTCAAAGGTCCCTGGACCACCTGTGTCAGTCTCCTGAGGTGTTAGTTAAAAACAGATTCCTAGGCCCCATGCCAGAGCTGTACACCAGCATCCGTGGGGTGGAGCCTAGGAATTTTCCTGGGACTATGCATTTGCAATAGATGTCCCAGGTGATCCTCATGCATGCTTAATGTTGAGGAGTGCTGCACTAAGAGATTGAGAAAGTTTAAGGCACAAGTTCTCAGAGCATGGTAATGCTAAGCACCGTACTTCAACAATGGAATTGTGATTTGAAACATGTAACCGGTGTGTCCGCTGTCCAGGCATTGCTCTGACTTTGACCCAAATACTCTGAACCCAATCAGTCACCTTTGGAAGGGCCTATTATAGGAGAGAATGGATTTATTTTGGCTCTGGTCTTGGTCAAACGGCTGCATCTCTTAACTCCTCATCTTGAGCTCACTTAGCCCACAACTGGGAAGCTCCTGATGGCAACAGCCACCAAGCAGCCCCTTAGGGGAAGGCATGATAAAGGAAGAAGAGTGATTAGGGTGAATCTTTTTCTATCTCTGATAACTCTATTCAGTGGTTGATTGCGATTCTTTCCTTTCCTTTCCTTTCCTTTTTTCCCCTCCCTCCCCCCTTCCTTCCTTCCTTCATTCCTTCCTTCCTTCCTTCCTTCCCTTTTTTCCTTCCTCCTTTCCTCTTCTTTCCTTCCTTCTTTCTTTCTTTCTTTCTTTCTTTCTTTCTTTCTTTCTTTCTTTCTTTCTTTCTTTCTTTCTTTCTTTCTTTCTTTTTCTTCTTTCTTTCAATTAAGTGTTTGGACCTGTGTGTGCTGTAACAGGAAGAAAGTAAAAGGAAACAAATTTCTCCTCGTTACATTGATATCTTCTTTTGAAATATTTTATTTCACTTTTTCTAACAGCAATATAGAAACAAATAATCATAAAAAATAAAATTACAAACTGTCCATTGATTATGTAATAGCACTTGGTATTGCTACAGGGAGGAGACCTGGGGCTGGGTCAGCTCATCTCAAGCCTGCCCAGCTCCCCAGGCCTCTGTGATCACTGCTGAGCCCATGAAGGCATCAGACATTACCACGCATGGCAGTGTCAATGGAGACTTTGAGCTTTACACCCAGGAGTCCTTGGGGATGGCAAGGAGATGGGCAGATAATGAGTAAAACTGCAGATGGTATTGCATACAAATTGTAAGCCAGAAGGTTGCCCTGGGGAGCTGGCAACATAGGTTAGGTTGCAGCTAACTCATAGGCACCTCTTGACCCACACAAGGCAGGGACTTCACAAAGCTGAACTGACTTGGTTAGACGTTTGCGTTCACTGTGGAAATAAGGAAGCTAGCCGACACTGGACAACAAGAAAATGCAGCTGTCTTTTCCCTTCCACCTCTCTTCTCTGATTCCCCTTCTCTTTCTCCTCCTGCCTTATCTGGAAAGAAAATTCTCTTGAGATAAACTAAGCAAAATAGCTGAAATAGCTAACCTATCCAAGAAAGTGTGCCTCGAGCTCAGTTCCTTCTCAGAAAACAAAGAAAGGAAGAAAGCATCAGGCTAACTGAGCAACTAAATTGTCCACTTGACTTCAGTCCAATTGAGCTGATGAAATTCAACTAAATCACTCAGCTATCGTTGATTCCAACTTTTTCAGTTTTGGGGATGAATGATTTCTAGAAAGAAAAAAAAAATCAGTTTGGCACTTTTTTTTTCAGAGTATGGAAGGGGATTTCCTGTGTGGGATCGAGCATGTGTTACGTGTGTGTCTCTACAGAGCGCGTGGTGAGTGTGTGTAGGCCTGCCTGATAGGGTGCGACCGCAGAACTTGTCTCAAAGAAGCCTGGCAGGAATGCCTCTGTGGGCCTTGGCAGTGCTTGTATGTATTCCTGAGGAGAGACATCACTGGGTGGAGAAAATCTCCCTCCTTTCTTGCCTGAGGGGGCTTGGCCTTCTGCCCGAGGTCTCTGGGCTTCAGACTTTTGTCACAGCTCAGAGTCAGGCCAAAACAAATTTGGCTCTATGTGGTTATAACTTCTTTAAAGGAAGCAGAAACCCTCCAGGTCCTTGAAATCACAAGGAAGAAACCAACTTCTTTCCTGTCTAACTAGGGAGACGTCATTTGCATCCTCCCACTCCCTGTCCACAAAGGAAAAGCAACCTTTTCCCAGTGTGGGTCCTGGGGTGTGTGAGTGTGTGTGCCCCAATGACATTATACAAGAAGACGAAACATGAAAGGCAGGACACCTTGCATCGACTATGGCATCGTGATTGGTAATATGTGTTCTGTGGGTCTGCTGTTGAGACATTGCTCTGAATTTGACTCAGATATTCTGAATTGCAAAGTGAGAGGTGCATGTGAGGGTTGAATGAGGTGGAGAGTAGAGGGGTTGGAAATTGGTGGGTTTGGCAAAGCATTAGGACCATCTTTGGAGTTCAAGTTCACTTATATACGATCTGTCTAGGCATCATCAATAATGATTTAACACATCAATATTCTATAGCCACTAATGAGCTGTGTAACCTAAAGAGAGTCATTCTCTCCTTCCCTGGCTTCACTTTACTCTTTGTGAATGAGAGGCCTTGACTAGATGGCATCAAAGGTCAATCCCCCCAGCTGGTGGGGGACACCTGACCCATAGTGCTCTACCAGGTTAACTTTCCTAACCTGTTGAGATCTCAGTCCTCACCTTGCTGACCCTCACACTTGTTATTAGGGAGAACCTTTTAAAATAAAATCCTGAACCTCTGTACTAGACCTACCCAACTGGCTTCGCCATTTGGACAAAAATCAACAAGTTAGCAACAGATTAGTAACAGTCTGATTCAATTAAAATTAGTCATTTAAGTCAGGCACAGAATCTCAGAGGAGCTCAGGGCGAGCGTCTGGGCTCCCTGGAATCTTTCTGGCCAGAGCAGGAAGGTGACATAGGGGACACTGATGGGATCCATCAGGAGGCCTCTTCTGGCCCCAGGGAGAATTCAGTTGTGGGAAATCCACTGACAGACCTGCCTGGACCCGTCACCAGTGGTCTCCTAGGCACTCCCCCAGGGTTGTGGGGTGGCAAAGGGGCTCTTTGGAGATTGGGACTGGTATATGTGGCCGGACAGGCATCAGAGGGCCTCTGTGCTTGCTCCACCCAAGCTACACTGGTGTGTCCCTGCACACATTGGAAACAGTTTACACGGTAGGAGTGCCAACCGTGGGGTCTGCATCCCCAAACTGCACTTTGTTATTCCTTTTGGTTTTCCTTTCCTGGTGGGTCCCTGTCAAGGTTGTTGAGTCACCTATTTAGGGTAATTCTAGCCAGTACTTAGGGGACAGCCGCAGAACGATGGGCACATGTGATATATTTAATCACCTCCCTCTGGGGGCTCAGTGCCTGTGGGGAAGCCTTCTGTGAGAATCACAGCTTTTGGGGGCCCCCTTTTGGGATCCCAGTTCTCATAGCACCAGTGATTCCAGGAAACAGGAATGTGGATCACTGAGGGGAGTACTGAGATGTGTCATGCTGGGAGCCCAGGTCTCACTGAACATCTGGATGGGTGGCCCTTCTGCAGGACTCTTTGGGTATCATGTGAGAGCTAGTCACGGGGGGCGTTGGGCTCCAAAGCTGGGGCCCTGGGGGAGATCACCAGCTGACAGGTCCTGGGGGTCCACAGATCATCAGTCTCAGGGAAGCCCAAACTCTGGAGAGACCCACTCAGCCTCAACTCCCTGTTCTGGCTCCTCTGCCACCTTCTAGGGCTTCTCAACAGAGGGAGAACCTCCGGGAGTTGATGTTCATCTTGGTGACTCCAATGAGCTTGAGTGGTGTGGAGAGACTGAAGGAGGAGGCCAGCGGGGAGTCGCAGAAGAGGTCGGACAGCTCATCCCGCTCCTCTAGCTCATAGGTGGCGTCGTTGAGCATCCTCCTGTGGAGATCGCAGGTCTGCTCGATCTTCAGCTTGTTGATGTCACTGCGCAGGCGCATGAGCTGTCTGGCCAGCTGCTGGTCCTGCAGCCGCATCTCTGTCTGCAAGAAAGGAGGGGCATCAGTGCTGAGCATTAGGGGCGGGCTGCATGCAGCTCCATAGTCCCAGACATAGTTCCCCGCTGACAGGAGACCTAACTAATGGTTTGCATCACTGATTGGGCCACCTGGAGATATTAGCATATTCTCAGCTCGGGGAGGTGAAAAGACACACGTATCAAGGTGACAAATGAGGCCATGCTTGCCAAACAATACTTTGTGCTGAGCTAGACACTATGTCGAAATCCTTCTGGAAGAGGTACATGTTAGTCCTGGATTAATGGTATTTCCAGTGCAGATTCCTTGTTTACAAATGGAGTAAAGAGTATAAAGAAATACATGGGAATGATAAATAGCTAATTCAGAAGCACGGTTACCTCTGGGTGGGAAGGAGGGAATGTGATTGGGTAAGGTGTACTGGGACTTCAACTTGTATTGCTAATATTTTAAATCTTATGTTGGGCGGTGGGTATGCTGTTATAGTATTCTTTAAACATTTTAGAATGCCTGCAATCATTCTTAATAAAGTTTCAAAAGAGCCAAACATAAATATATGCTAATAATTATTGAATGTTTTACTATAAACCAGGCACTGTCCTAAGCTCTTTTGGTATGTATTAGCTCGGGTTGCCATACAAAACACCATAAACTGGGAGACTTAACAACAGGAATTTATTTCTCACAGTTCTGGAGGTCAGGAAGTCCAAGTTCAAGGTGAGGGCTGATTCGGTTCCTAGTGAGGACCCTTGCAGATGGCCACTTTCATTGCATCTTTTTGCATCTTCACACAATGGAAAGAGAAAGCTCTGGTCTCTCTCTCTTTTTCTAAGAACACAAATCCTATCATGGAGGCCCCATCCTCATGACTTCAAAATCTAATCATCTCCCAAAGGCCCCATCTCTAAATACCATCACAGTGTGGGGTAAGGCTTCAATAAGTGAAACTTGGGAGGGACACAGACATTCAGTCCATAACAGGGCATATTAACATGCAACAGTCAATCTTCACTATAACTCTGTAAAGTAATTTTATAATCATCATCTACAATTTATAGATGAAATGGCAGAAGTTCAGCAAAGTAAGTCCCTGTGTCAAGTCACAAAGCTCATAAATGACAGAGCCGGGATTAGGAGCCCAGAGAATCGAACCCAGGAACCTGAACTACTGACAACCAAGTTCTTCTGCCTCTTCAGGGAAAGTTGGAGTGTGGGGTTATGGACAAAGTTCTGTGCTCAGTGACCTACTAGAAGATTCGTAATAGTTCTAGGGCCGAGTAATTCCTATTGAGAAGGGATGTGATAATAACTTGTCCTCTGGTCTAACATATACAGTTTCCATAATTCACCTACATGTTAACCTTGTTGGAACTTTACAGCCAGTCCTGGGGATACCAGCAGGACAGCCTGAGTGTGTCACAAGTTCCGGGGGAGTTTCAGTGAGTCGCTCAGTTTCACAGTTGTGTTCTGGCAGAGATGGGATTGGAGCTCATGGGATGTCTTCAGGCTCCCACTGCAGAGTGTTTCCATTAACGACACTTTGTCACTAAGACATCACCAGCTGCTCCTACTTGACATGAGATCCGAGTCCTTCTGACCCTTGCCTCCTCCTATGCTTTGCAAGTGGTTATTGTTTTTGTGTCTTTGTGTGTGTGTGTGTGTGTGTGTCTCAGCTGTGTCATTCACCTGGTGCTGGGAGCCAAACTGATTTAGAAAAATCAACCATGGTTTTTCCAGAGGGACCCCCATCAAGGTTATGTAAATAAATCCAAATGTTTTCACTTTCTCTCCTGTTCAGGATTGGAATCGAGTGTATTGCAGAGTAGAAAAATAAGCGACTTCACCAGTAAGCATTTCACTGTTCTTTGTTTTCTCTTTCTTTTTTTTTTTTTTAAGATTTTTATTGGGGAATTGGGGGATAGGAACAGCGCTGGGGAATTGGGGAAAGGGGAACAGGCAAGTTGCTGTCCTTTCCTTCTTCAGTCTAGTTGTGGAGGACGTTGCTTCACTGGCCCAAGTTGGCACCATCATTGTGCTCTTCCCGGGCGAGGCAGATCAGTTGCCGGCTTCTGGACGGCCGCTCACTGTGGCTGCTGGCCACTCACGCTGGCTGCTGGCTACACACAGTAGCCCATGGCAACCCACTGCCACAGGGGCTGCTGCCCACACCGACGCTGGCGACTGACGGCAGCCCAGCTCCAGGTTGAGCTGTTGTTCAGCATCTTAGCTGTGGAGGGCAGTGTCACTGGCCCTCAGATGTGGGATCCAAACGGGGGCAGCTCTTAACCAACGTGCCACTCGGCCGGCCCTCTCTTTCATTTTTTTAATGTACTTCTACAGATCCCTTTTCTTCCAATTTCATAGATGAGGAAAATAAAGATAGAAAGTCTTGATTGGGGATAAGCAAAGTAATTGATGGCAGAATTGGGATTAAAATTCATAGGTTCCAGTTCATTAGTTTACTTCTCAATCCCTGGGTGTAACAACTCAAATTTATTGCCCATCAGAAATTCTATTGATCTAGAATAGCACCAAATTAATGATGGCAGGCTCACTGCAGGGCAGTTAGTCATTTGTTCATTTTATTTGGAGCCCCTGGCCATGCTTGAAACTGGGCTAAGTGTTGCCTAAACCCTTTTGAGATGGGTCAAATTTGTCTGAAAGACAGTGCCAGCTCACACCCATTACTTTATTTGATTTGGTCTTCTGGGAGTTTTACTCAAACCACTTCTCTTTGGCATATTCTGTGTTTTGATGACAGATCTCTTTGAAAAGCTCTGAACCCTATGGTTTAGATTTGAACTTTGGCTTCAGGAATCAGATCTCTGGCCTGAAAAGATCCTTTAAAGTTGAAGACTTCCAGGTTGGGCAGGTGTCTGGGAGAATCTGTGAGATGTGGCCTGCAGTGGGTACCTGTGGGGTGTAAGGGGCCATTTTTCTATGGCCGATAGATCTGGTCAAAGGCCAGAGGAACAATTTAGGGTTTAAAACCCATCAGAATTAGCTGGACAGAGGGGTGGTAGTAAGGCACATGTCCGGTTTCCTTTGACAGGACAAAGGCCACTTTGGTGAAGCTGCCTCACACAGCCATTCAGCTTGGAGGCACTCAATTCTGCATGAGGGAAAGAAGAGAAATAAAACCACACTTCCAACAGGACTGGCAACTCTGACCATTCTGCTTGTTTGTGCGCCAACACGAGGACGGGCTGGGAATCTGATGTTTCCTCAGCAAGCCTTGCTTCTAAGGGCATCTCACAGTGTGAGCGTCCTGCCCTAGGAGTCACTTGGAGTATACAGGGGGTGCCAAAAAATGTATATAAGTGGACACTTTGGTCAATGTTGCTCAGGCATTAGTTCGCCATAATCAGAAGTGTCTGGACGCTGATGGTAACCACTTTGAACTCCTCTTGTAACTGCAGAAGTCAAACGTGACTTGTATTCATCTTTTGTTTTCAATATATATTGAGTATTACAATTTTAATAGTTTTCCTTGCTTAAAATGTGTCTACATTTTTTGGGCACCCTCTGTATATTTTGTTATGAGCCATGAATGTAAATCAACTGGTTTTTTTTTGTTTATTTTTAAATTATTTTTTATTATGAAATACACATTTTTTAGAATTAGTTTCAGCTGAACAACACAGTGCAATAGTTATACTTTTTACCCCTCGAAGTGACAACCCCTCCCCCCCAATCCACTGCCCCATTTCCCCCAATATCATACATATCTATTACAAATCCCTTGACTGCACTCCCACACTATACTCCACGTCCCATGAATATATATATATATTCACTTATAGTTGACATACAATATTATACAACTTCAGCTTCAGGTGTACGGTGCAGTGATCAAGCCTCTTCCCCATCCATGATGCAAGACATGTGACCACCTGACACCTTACAAAATATTCACAACATTATCAATTACATTCCTCGAACTGTCCCCCATGTCCCCATGGCAACACTGCAGCTGCGTATTTATGCTGTCCAGCCCTGTCCCTCTCTCTCTCATCTCCACCCCACCCCCAATAAATCAACTGTTTTATCTGATGCTCAAAGAAACAGCGTTTGTTCCAAGACTACAAGAAAAACTGGAAGTGTTGGCCCTATTCTCTTCTACTCTGTGGGCCACAGAGGGGTTTTCCACAGGTAACTTAAGCCTTACATACTAGCTTGAGACCATGCTTAAGAGGTAGCTCTGCTGTAATCAAACCAAATCCATATAGAGAAGAGTTCATATAGCCTCCAAAGAAACCTGAGCAAAATGTGCAGGGCTAACAGGGTTTTTTCCCCCAGATTTTTTTTCAACTGTGGTAAAATATACAGTAACATAAAATTCCACCATCTTAACCATTTTAAAGTGTACAGTTCAGTGGCATTAAGTACATTCACACTGTTGTGAAACCGTCACCATCATCCATCTCCAAAACCCTTATCATCCTGCAAAGCTGAAACGCTGTCCCCATTCAACAACTCCTCATTCCACCTCCTTCCAGCCCCTGGCAACCACCGTTCCACTTCCTGTCTCTATGAATGTGACGACTTTACAAACCTCGAGTGAAATCTACAGTATTTGTCTTTTTGTGGCTAGTTTATTTCACTTAGATCAATGTCCTCACGGTTCCTACAGCTAAAGAGGCTTTTTGTAAATTACACCTTTTTAGAAAATTTTAATGAACGTGTGCCTTTGCTGATCCTGTGTAGAGTAAGTCAGAGGAATGGCAGTTCCTGGGGGTGGGTACGGAGAGCAGGGTCTGGGGACAGGGCCCCTCTTCCTTTTTCTCTCTTTCCTGCCAAGGAGACACGTTGGGCAGCCATGACAACACACACCTATCTTCTGCCACATACTATTAGATATAGTTTTCATATATTATTTCACTGCATCTTGTCACAACTCTAGATGATCGGTATTTTGATCTGTTTTATGGTTTAGGAAACCAACTCTGAGAAGTTAAGGGACTGTGCAGGGTGGCACTCCAATCACACTGGGGCCCATCAGAGGC